TCTTCGAGTTGTTGAGCTCACGTCCCCGAAATTAGGTCTGAAAAATGTCATATATCCCACTAAATTGGCACCAAAAATTAAAAAGAGTAACTTGGTTCGAGTCCTTCTTCCGCAGACTGCCATCGTGTTTTAATTGATTAAGCATGAAATTTTATTTGCCAGAAATGTGGCCTATAATGCTGTGAAATCAAATGACACAATTCATAATCAATGAAAGGGGCCATATGAAACTAAACCCAGGCAGTATCCATCAGTATTTTCCTAACACAATATGAAAGTGGGTGATTCTGTATGTCAGACATCATATTAGATTGTGTGACTACTGTTGATGAATCTGCTTGTTGTTGTTCTTCAAAGACTGACAGTCACTTTGAAAAGTGGATGAACTGGACAAATGCAGCCTCTCTGGAACAAAAGTAGCCTAGAAGAGCCATAGGATGGTTGAAATGAAACAAAGTAGCACTTAACAAGGGAATGTGGCAAACACACCAACAAGCCGTCAATAAGCAAAGGTTTCACATAATGTTGACACAGATCTAATGGGATTGACCTGTTTTCGTTGTGACAGCTCCTGTAGTGTGTGAAAAAAGGCAATGTGGGTAATTAACTTTATGCATTGGAATCCTATACCATCATGCTAATATTTAAAAAATATATATACAGATGAACCAAATTCACAGTCACATGGCTAAATTCTTCAGTGTGTTGACCACCAAAGTGGAGCCTGCACATTCAAGAAACCATTTAAGTCTAACTATTGTAAGATTTCTAGAACAACAAAATATACTTCTTCAAATGTGGATAAAGAATATGGCAAATAATTCCTCTGCCATTTGATACCTTGGTACCTTGTGACTTACACTTGTCGGAGCCCAGAGACATTCAGAAAACGACGTGGCAGAAAACTGCTGCTTAGCTTGAACATTCATGCCATTTCACACTATCAGGTCTGTGAATTCTTAAGTCTTCTCTTGACCTTAACCTCGTGGCCAGTGTGTGTATCAATGCCTTTTGCTTTGCAACCAGTAGGTGGCGCCAAATTCCTGAACACTGTAATCCATGTCTGAATGGAATGAAGAATGATCAGCACTGTGGCAGCTTATCAGTAAACTCCACAGCCACTGATTATATGTACAAGATGCTGTGTGTGTAGAGATCACAATAAAATGAGTATCACAGTTTATATCTGTGGTTAGTTTTTTATTCTTTCAATCATTTTTTGAAACATCCACCATCATCTTCATATCAAGTAATCCTCCTCCTCCTCATCCCTTTTGCATTATCAGTAGTTTTAGAGGTGCTTTATATCTGCACCCTCTGGTCCCTTAAACCAAACATCATTTACAAAAGAAACAAACAGTCTAACATGTTTACTGCTGTATCCTTTGACTGGTTTGAATATCTCACATTACAAATATTGCTCAGTGATAAGCAGTCATAGGCAAATACAGCCGCTGTTCAGTACATTTCAGCCACAGTAAAATCAAGTGCATCAAGCCAATGTTAGACTTTAGCTTTTAAAATCTTCTAAATACATTTGACATCCACTGGCACATTTCATTTTGGCACAAAGTTCTCTTTCATTTTAAAATGACAACCTCTCAAAAGCACAATGACAGATGAGTTTAAAGGGTATTCTTAACTTTACATAACAGGAAAGAATAGATTGCAAGATTGCTGACAACTCACTATGCCCTCTGGTGAAAATTGCACTTGGTACAAATGCTTAATTAATCCTTCAGGTCTTGTTCAGGCAGCATTTTACCACGAAACTGGCTCCACAGACTAGGGAGAGAATTGAGAAGTAATTGAGTATGACTGATTTTCTCTCACATGATGGAGCACGTCAGGATGTAGCTGGTTTGGAGGCTAAATGCTGCTGACTTTACATTCCTGGCACAGGTTCTTCAAGCTGCCCATCATTAAACTGCTCATTGTTTTGACAATAAAACAAACAAGCATGTGAACTTAACAACAATAATTAATATTAATTGCACATTAAGGTAACATTCTGTAGTGCAGCATGATTTTGCATCTAGTTTTCAAGGAAATGCTTTGTCTTTAATCTCTCTGAAAGGCACTTCTTCATGTCCTGGTCAGTCCAGCCACTTTCACTGCTTTCAAGTCACAAGAACACATGGACTCTGTTACAGAGGCACTTGGATGGACACAAAAGGAAAAGTCTCAAGTCCAGCTGGTCTTTTTGAGAAAAAAAATAAGGCCAAAAACACCTTGCTTTGCATTTCTCAATTTCTCATTCACGACATTGAAATCTGCACTTGGCTTAAAGGGACTTTTCACCACCTTTAATTTGCTCGCCATTCCCATTCAAATGGAGTGCACACCTTGGGATGATGAGGGAACTGGGAGCATCTGAGGAGACGTCCGCTGTAGTAATTGCACTATGGTCAAAAAAAGGTCATTTGAGGTTCCTGGCTACTGTCTGTCTTGCTCCTCTTGGTGCTCAAACTTCCACCCCTGTTTTTTGTCTCCTGGGTTGCACCGGCTCATCTGAATGTCTGTGTGGCCATCTGCTGTGTAGTAGGCTGTCACACACATGTCTGAGTGAGGGTGGTAGATGGTCCCATCCTGAAAGGATTGAGAGGTAGAGGAGGGGTAGGATGAGAATGTGTGCAAGATCTAGAATAATGTATGTGCATGTGGTCACTTGGGCTTGAGTGAGAGAGAGCGTGTTTGTGTATGTAAACGTGTGCACCCTTTACATTTCTGAACTCCCAGATCATACTGGGTGGCTTGAACTCCCCATCACGAGGGCACTGTGTCATCCCGACTGAGGTCTGTCCCTCGAGCACTTCGGCACACAGCTCTGTCACCGAGTTGTAACGGATCTCCTTCTGAGATGTGTATTCAAAGTACTGGAACAGAGGAGAGACCTGGTTAAAAGGCATTTTCTCTGTATATATGATTAAAATAGGTTTCTTTACCATTAGTTTGTATTTAGAAACATCTTTGGAAAGCATCCCAACTGGAAAAGCAGTAGTGACTAAGGGAATAAGACACTGTCTTACATCCTTTCCAACTGTTTCAGGACATCCCTCCTTCTGTCTTAATCTCACTGTATTTAGAAAGCTTTTTAACAGAGTAAGTTGGCATGTTTTTTCTACCAGGATTACAGGATGGTTTTCTCTTCCTTGACTGTGGGATCAGGTCCTGGCTAAGCCACCATTTGGCATGTCAACATATGTATCAGGGCATCTCATCAGCAAAGGCCAGGCTTTGGCCCTCTCAATCAAGCA